GCAAACGACAGTATCGACCGCACAGAGCTATGGAAAATCATGGACGAGAACGGCTTTCCTAGGAAGTTGAGAAGACTGATCAAAGCAACGATGGACGGTGTGCAAAACTGCGTAAGGATTTCGGGTGAACTATCCAGTTCATTCGAATCTTGCCGGGGACTGCGACAAAGTGACGGACTCTCATGCCTACTCTTCAACATCGCTCTAGAAGGTGTAATGCGACGAGCCGGGCTCAACAGCCGCGGTACGATTTTCACGAAATCCGGTCAATTTGTGTGCTTTGCGGATGACATGGACATTATCGCAAGAACATTTGGAACGGTGGCCTGAAATACGAAGCAGCAAAGGTCGGACTGGTGGTGAGTGCGTCAAAAACAAAGTACATGCTAGTAGGTGGAACCGAACATGACAGGATTCGTCTAGGAAGTAATGTCACGATAGACGGGGATACTTTCGATGTAGTGGAGGAATTCGTTTAGCTTGGATCCTTACTGACGGCTGACAACAATGTGAGTCGTGAAATACGAAGGCGCATCATCAGTGGAAGTCGTGCCTACTACGGGCTCCAGAAGAAACTACGGTCAAAAAAGATTCACCCCCGCACCAAATGTACCATGTACAGAACGCTAATAAGACCGGTGGTCCTCTATAGACACGAGACATGGACTATGCTCGAGGAGTTTTCGAGCGACGTGTGCTAAGGACGATCTTCGGCGGTGTGCAGGAGAACGGTGAGTGGCGACGGCGAACCCAGCATCCAGAAGGTGGCCAAAGCTTGAAGAATGCGGTGGGCAGGGCATGTTGCAAGAATGCCGGACAACAACCCTGCAAAGTTGGTGTTCACTACTGATCCGGTTGGCACAAGAAGGCGTGGAGCGCAGAAAGCACGATGGGCGGATCAGGTAGAGCGTGATCTAGCGAGCGTTGGGCATGACCGAGGATGGAGAGCGGCAGCCGCAAACCAAGTATTGTTGATTATGTCTTATCTTAATTGTGATGTTGTACAAATAAATGTATGTATGTATGCCCAAACATGAGGCAGTTTGAGCATTGGGTGATGTTGCGGGAGCGAGATTGGTAGCGTTCCCACGTAACCACGATGTGGAAAAGCGGCCGAATACACTGCAGGTCCTTCAAACACGTTGTGTTTCGCTCGAGGTGGACCAAATACAACTGGTCACGGTACTTACGGGAGACGTCGTGCCGATTCATCTTGAAGTCTTGCGATGGATTTAGGCCGTTCTTCTTCAGCTCATCCGACAGCGCGGCGATTTCCATGTCGGGCAGACCACGCAGGACCACCTTGAGTGGATTGTCTTCCTCGACATCGTGAGAGAAATATTCCCATTTTTCCCGCTTCAGCAGCTCTTCGATGGCGTTGTAGTACTGGTACCTTGCTGGCAAAATCGTTATTTCTGAGTTCCACCATCCAGGCCTGGATAGTTATGGTTAGCCTATTGACATTGGTCTTCAAGTGGGGCAGCCCAGAACGCTGGAGCTGCCAACGAATGGTGTTACGGAGCCTGATAAGATCTTTGGTTGGGCTTTCAAGGTTCAGACCTGTCTGGATGCTGGTACGTGTTGCTCCCTGGCACGGGATATCGCCTCTTCGATGGTTTGCAGACACCGATCGACTTCTTCGAACGACTCCGGTAGGACGTCGTAATCGATTGCTGTGTCCACACAGCTCTGATACTGCTGCCAGTTGACACGATGGTAATTTCGCCGGGAAACTTGAAACCTATTGGCCGAGGAACCTACTTCCGTCACCACCGGATAGTGGTCCTAGCTAAGTTCCTGATAGGCGATTCCTAGTAGCACGCTTGTCACATATCGTTTGTGGCATCTTCTATTCAACTTATTATAATATCAGTCATAAACAAGTTGCTGCAACTTATTGTGACGGAAATGTGCTACTCGGGATAGGTTGAGAGACGTTATCGCCAATGTTGCTGATGAAGATGTCCATGGTGGCATGAGCTCCGGATCGACTCAACCGGGTGGGAGTGTCCGGACACAGGATCTTGTAGTGGGCTTCCTGCAGATCGTTGTATAAGATTGTGCCGTTCTGGTTTCGCCGACTATTGCCCCAAGCTTGATGCTTGGCGTTCAGGTCGCCAGCGATGACGAAATTTTGCCGCCGTCGTGTTAGCTTGATGATGACTCTTCGGAGGTCTGCGGCCGAGCCTTCCCTAATGTTGGTTTGCTTGGGGCAGTAGACCACGATGATGGTGATTGGACCAAGCGTTGTGCTCACCTCAACTCCGATGGCTTGGTAGTAGCCGGCAGCTGATGTTCCATCTCGCATTGATGGCCACTCCTCCTCCCCCGGAGCTGGTGCGGTCAAGCCTTACGAGCCGGAAGTTGGGAAGGAAGACGTTTAGCTCGGGCTTCAAGTGAGTCTCGGTGATGACGGCTATGTCGATGAGCCGTTCGTTGAGAAAATCAACAAACTCGATGTTTTTGCTGCTCAAGGAGCAAGCATTCCAATTTACGATCT